CCCCCGGCTCAAAATTTTTTTCAGTGGCCCTCCCCCCACCCAAAAAATTTTTCGGTGGCCCTCCCCCCATCTTTCCAGTCCATGTCTCTTTCTCCCTCCGTAAATTCCCGAATGAAGTACGCATCCCGATTAAAGTACGCACCCCCGATATATGGGGCTGGTGGGAGACAAATATTCCCGTCTGAAACGTAAAATGGAAAAACTCGAATTAAGTACGCACCCCTTCTACGCACGGCCGGTACCACAGTGAACATGTAGTATGTATGTCTTAAAGACAGTTCGTCGTTCCAAACAATTTAAAATTGTTAAAAACTAGATTTATGCCGTGTACTACGTGATTGTATGGTAACGTAGCGGGAAACGTTTCAAGTTCGGCTTGTTTTTCACCGCCGGCCCCAGCCGACTTGCAAGACGTCACCGCCGCATCGAAAGGTAAGGCAAGTGCGGCGAAACGAACAGATTTGGATCCAGCTTTGGAGTGTTGGTGTCTTGGTGATCAAGCAAGCAATGGTCAATAAAGATTCGTGAAAAAAAGACAATATTTCAATATTAACTTTATCGGTAACGGGGGGGGGGTACTTGAATGTTGATGCACAAGTACGTAGCTTTAATGTTTTTAACACGAAATGCGCCGAACACTTCTTTAATAGCGCCCGCACGATCGACCCATGGAGAGCAACAATCATACAGGCGGAGAACTGGGCGGAGTATTTGGGTGTAGAGGTGCTACCGAATTTAAAATTTGACACCGAAACCAATTAACACAACAACAATAGACTACTGGGATCAATGGGACTTGCGATTCCGAACAGGAGAAAGTGACAAGTTTGACTGCGTTTCAAGTAATCTCTCGTTATGTGATAGATGTTTTTGTCACAGAATCAAAGGAATAAACACATGTATTAATTTGTACTCCGTAAAACTTATAAGTACAGTCTGTTCTGAGGAAAGAAAGACTTCCTTCTCGGGGTCCATGTTCTGGAAAGCTGTCCTCAGCGCTGCGCATGCCACGGCCCTCTCTGTGTTCTTTAGCTGTAGGTGTACTTTGCCTGTCGGCGCGCCAAACACCCCACCCACCGGCCGGGCGGTAAGATTTCATCAAAGACTACATTTAAGTTAACTCCGCCCCTATCATTGTAGCTTGCCGAACAGTCGAGTAGGAGTACATCTAGCTTCACGTCGTACTGGCTGGTGTAGCCCGCTACAAAGTAATTTCCTGTGGCATTTATCAAGATTTAAAAATATTTGTGATACGAAGTGAAACATGGTTAACAATTTCTGAACCTTTGAAACGACATGGGCATAATCTTTGTTGAAGATTCCTGAGTTGAACTCAAGCCGAAAGTGTATTGGAAATGATGACCATCAGTCGAGGCACAACTGTTATGTTATCACATGTTACGTTACGACGATCAAGAACGTTCACGGCTTGCGGACCATTTCAACTATTACCACTCATAAACCCTACAATTGTATGTGTACTTACGGGAGGTTATATTTTGCCGGGGTTCCACTGAGATCGGCGCCGGCTAGCTGTCGGCATGACAAAGCGCCGGGCGTCATTGCCAGAGACCTACATTTTCTTACCGTGGGTGACTTGACTTCTTCTTTTACCGCAACTTGGTGTCAATATCGACGATAGTCACAGAAAATATGTTCATTTATTGAAGTTTAACTTTATTTCCACTCGTCAATATTCTTATCTAAACATGCTATAGACGATCGATGTTCCAAGCTCCCCGTGCCGGTGTCCCGCTATATTCCTGGGTCGTCCACGGATTTGTCGGCGGAAAACTCAAATAAAGTACGCACCGCGACTTTGGCGACGGCCCGAGACACTTCTGGGATTTTGAAAAATGTAAAAAGTGCGTACTATATTCGGTAATTTACGGCGTATTTCTTGTAATTCGGTACTACGCGACGCCATATTTTACAAAAGTTTTTCGGTGGCCCTCCCCCCCAGGCCGATTTTTTTCGATGGCCCTCCCCCCGGCTCAAAATTTTTTTCCATGGCCCTCCCCCCAGGCCAAAATATTTTTCAATGGCCCTCCCCCCCCAGTGCACCAGCCCTC